TGTCTCTCTCTCTCTCTCTCTCTCTCTCTCTCTCTCTCTCTGCCTATATTTGTTCGGCCATATGGACAGTCAACCCTGGGAAACATGCATGACATGGTGATAAGATTACTCGGGGGGCCACTCTTTACGATCCTGCATGCGCCAGGCAGAGAGAGACGAGGTCGAGAAAAAAAGGGGCACTTGTCATCTGCTCGCTTGCTAAACCTGGGGAAACGGGGAACGGATCCATCCAGGGGAGGTTTCTGTTGGCCCGAGGATATTAAGGGCCTTTCCCCAGGTTTTCCTTCGTTCCGCCGTCTTTAAACAAGCGCCGACCCGTGTGCCTCCTTCTCTCTTCCATTTTCCTTTACTTAATAATTTCCATGTGAACGGTGGATGCTGGACGAGGTGCATTTCGAAGATTTGGTCGGCATTCCTCCCTCTTGCCCGACCGATTGCTCAGGACCACTGCAGACAACCAATTACCGTCGCTATCATTGGGTTTTGTCCGCTGCTCTCGGTGGTCAAAAGAAAGATTTAGGGAGAAGAGTAATATGAATTCCAACCTTGTGCATTCCCGAGTACCAACCCGATGTCCAAAAAGAAAAGATATCAGAAAACACGCAGCATCCTATGGTCCCTAGCGAAAAAAAAAAGACAAGAAGCGTCAAAAGCAATGTCAACATCAGTCGATCCAACAGACCAGAGCATGCAGGATGCTAAGGGAAAGAAAGATAACACAGGAAATCAACCAGCCGCGGTAATAAAAGAGCATCTGCCGTCGTAATTAAACATGAGAAGAAAAAACGAGGTACTCGGGAGGAATACCCAAGGGAACGGGACATCACGATAGCAACTCGTCTATGTATGCCTTCTCGCTCGCTTTCTCCCGCGTCTCTTCCTTTAGCAAGACAGCAAGGACTTCAATAGGCGGATTCAGGCCGAGAGCATGAGCTCGTCTCCAGCGTTTTATCCGTGCAATTCCAATGCATGGCTGACAGATGATATTTCGGTCAGCTTGTTTCTGCTGCTTGTTTGCTGCCGGGGAAGTATATCGATGAATTTACTTACGCCGTACTGACTGCACAGGTCAAAGTGACGTAGAATCCTCTCCTCGATACTTAGATCTGCCTGATGCACTGTAAACCCGTAAATGTCAGATTGATGCCCCAAAGTCCCGCAGAAGTACTCAGCATACCTCTCGAGGCAGTTCGCTTTCTTTCCTCCGCCCGCCAGTACGCATGCAGCTGCTTCAGCGTCAATGCCTCTGCCTGCTCATCTTCCTTCGACTTTGGCAACGCTGCCTCGGCTCTGGCCTGCTCGTGTACGACGGCTGTTGAAGTCGTGGACGCGGGAGTGGTCGTGACTTCGGCGGTAGGTTCTTGCAGCTGTTGTTGCTCCTCGTCCTGCTTCTTTGGCAGGCTGTGGGTGGGTAGGGAGATCTCCTTGGGCGAGGGAGACTTCTGCTTCAAGTCCTTGCCGGGTATCGAGGCATTGGAGAAGGGCTTTGATATCTTCGACTGCGTGCCGAACTGGAGGGTTGCCTGGTTGCTTTTGCGCGACTCGGCGGCTTTTCGGCGGGGGGCCATGTCGACGGTGAGTAAGAGAATCTTGATGCGATAGTGGGCTGAGTATTAGCTAGATCACACTCTTGTTGTTTCGCTGTTGATAAGAAGCTGCCGTTGTTGGTGTCTGTCTGTCTGTCTGTCTGTCGTCGCTGGCTGCCTGGAGGCTCATCGGCTTGGTAGTTAGAAAAACGCTGGTTGTCCATGGCAACCACCCTGAGGCGGCGGCTTTTTCTCCAGCCAACACAACACGAGCCGAGCCTCCACTCCAACAGTAGGGGAAGATGATGGTCAGGATCAAAGAACTACGTGAGAGACAGGTCTATTGAGGGTTTAAGGGCTGCTATCTGGATACCAAAGATGGACTACGGCTTGAACTTGAGGACATCCGCAACGACTTCCACCATCTCGACCACTTTCTCCTCCTCGAGCCGCTTGCCATAGAGCTGCAGGGAGACGGGCGCACCGTGATAGAACTCAGGATCATACTCGGACTGCATGATCTTGTCGTCTTCGTTCAAGGGATTCCAGCTCGCGTCTCGCTTCAGGTCGACGGCCTTGTCTGCGTAGGTGACGGGGAACGTACACGATGGGAGGTCTGCCACCAGTCACACAGCTTATCAGCAGGGGGCCAGCAGAAAACAGACCAGGCGAAAGAGAAACATACCTAGCAGGTTACCAAAGGCAGTGAAGCCGAAGTACTGAACCGTCTCGCCGTATCCCAGACGAGCAGCGGGGGCAACGGCGGCTGGGGCGATGATACAGTCCATGGGGCCGGCAGTGTCCGTCTTGGTAGCCATCCACCTGTCGAGATACGCTCGTTGCAAGCCGTTGCGTTCGATGATCATATCGCTCAGCTTGACGGCGTCTAGCTGGTCTTCTTTGAGTGTTGAGAAGGTCTTCTCCATACACTTGAAGAGAGGCTCGCCGTGCTTCTCTAGCTGAGGGAGAATGGCGGATGTCCCGAATACCTTGAACCCTTCCATGACGAGACGCAGAACCTCAGTGTGGCCAGTTGGTGCCCTTTTGAAAGCAACAATTCGTCAGTGCCATATATACAGTTTTGAAATAGCGGAGGAGTGGCCTACCATTCAAAGACATCATGACCCGCTTCTTTCAGTGCCTTGCTCACGATGTTAAGGGCGCGCTCTATGGGCGGATAGCAAGTCATACCGCCGTCATTGTTACCCAGTATATCAATACGCAGCTTACGCCCCTTGGGCTGAATGACATCCTTCCTCCAGGGTATGGGGAGAAGCTTGGGATCGGCGTTCCACTGCCCGGCCTGCTCGGACAAGATCGTCTCGCAAAACAGCTTGACAGTATCAAGTGAGGTTGCCATTGGGCCGCACACAGACGGGATAAACTCCTGTCCCTGTATGGCTGCTCGCCCTCCCAGGGTTGAGAACCGGCCAAAAGAAGGCTTCAATCCGTACAGATGACAGAACGCACCTGGAACGCGAATACTACCCCCGATATCTGTTCCAAGCCCCAATGGCGCCGCCTTGAGGGCCAGGAGAGCTGCCTCTCCGCCTGATGAGCCACCGGGGCTCAAGCCCTTGTGGACGGGGTTTCTGGTCTCTCCCCAGATTCTGTTGTCTGTCTCTGCCATCAACATCGCCGTGGGCACATTAGTCTTGACATAGAAGACTGCGCCCAAGTCCCGCAGTCCTGTCACTATCACGGAGTCTTTTACTGTAGGCTCGATAGTGTACGCCGCCATTCCAATAGACGACGGATGAGGGACCGTCATGAAGTTGTCCTTTAGCGAGACTGGCAGCCCGTGAAGAGGGCCGACTACCTTTCCTGTCCTTTCGAGGTGATCATCCAGCTCCTTTGCACGCTTCAATCCCTCGTCAAACAGAACTTCAGTGACACAGTTGGTCTATAATCTCCCACGTCAGCCAACAACCTGTTCGTCCCCGAGCAGAAGAAACGTCCTTGTACATACCAGCTTCTGTGCAATGACAGTTGCCTTGCAAAAGGCTGTGGTTATCGTGACGGAAGACAGCTTTCTTGTCCTGAGCTTCTCTAACAGCACAGAGGCATCGGAATTGATAATCTCCAGCTCCTCGGCTGTGAGAAGACCTGAAGTCTGAGGGTACGATCGCAAGTCTTGCGGCAGCTCATCTTCCTTGACATCGGGGATAGACCAAAACGCTGCAAGGGCATCATCTCTCCGCTTCCTCGCCGCCGCAGATATTTCCTTATAGCACTGTCCCATCTTCGTTTACTTGTGGAAATATGAATATCTGACCTTAACGCTAGATGTGTCGTCGAGTCTGCCGCTCTGGCTTTTGCACTGCGAACTCGTCTCCTATTTATCTATCAACAAAGACATGGCTAACCGGAACCCCTCCTAACATTTAGCCGGTGAAGTAGGGCGATCCCGCCTCGGCCTTGCTTGACTGGAGGGTATATCCCGTCAACTAACTGTCGACAACGCCTCTCCTAGTGCTGAAGCTATCTTTCCCCTGTTGGTTGGCCCATCATCCCCCGCAACGCCCCCACATAGGGTAGAGTATATCTTATCTGGCGGTGGACATGGTAATCTTTCCGCGATGCGGATAGATCGTGGTCGCCTTCGAGTAATTATATGGCTTCTAGAGCGGTCGTTTTACAGCAAAGATCTAGATGTGTATCAAAGTGTTGTGGTAAGTGTTTATATGGTTGAAGAAACAGTCGTCTTATATATTGAAAATGCCATCAGCCTCAATTAGCATTACAACCGAGACCACGTCAAAGGACCTAACCCTATTGGCATTCTACCTTAACCTTTTACATCGGCGTCCGCAGCCACTCCCGATCTTAGTAGAATCGCCCGAGGTTGTCGGTAGATGTTTAAATGTTATTCGGTCGATAGGTTGGGTTCGCCTGTAGAGTGTATTCTCTTCTATAGACAAGATCCAGCTCCTCAGCCCGCCTGATAAGACTTACAGCGCAAATTGACCATCTAGAGTGCCTACCTACTTGCTCTCCTTCGCCCATCTTTGCTTCCAATCTTCCATGATATTGGTCTTGCTATGATGCTCCTTCCATGGCTCCTTTGGGGTTACAGGTACAAAATACAGTGGTTTCCCCCAAAAAACCCTCCATCCTCCACCATTCCGCGGGGTCACTAGTAACTGGCCAATCATGAGTCGTTTCTCCTTCTTTATCCACCCGAACTTCGGCCTTAATTCCGCTATTAGTCAGCTTTTAGTCAGATATTAAAGTGGCGCGCGCTAGTAACGCGTCTGGCGCGTCTCCATCGCGTCTTTTTGGTGGCTGGGAAGGAAGCTGAAGCGCGAGAATAGAAGAAGCCGAGAGAGAAGAAGAAACAAACCAACCACCGCGGGTGGAAAAGTGAGGGCTGGACAAAGAAAGGGCAATTGATAATGGACAGTACGGAGTAGCTCTCTGGTGACCCTGCTTCCTCGTCTTCCTTGGTGCTCCGGAGCAGTATTGCGGATACATCCTGCCCACTTACTTTAATTGATAGTCACAGCCCAGCATGAGCCTCAGGCCTATCGAGCAGGCGTTGGCCAGCCTTCTGCCCGCTCTCTCCGAGGATCTCCCTCGTGAGCTGCTGAATCTTGCGTCTTCCCTGCTTACCCAGACTCGGAGCTGTGGTGCGACTCTCAAGCCGGAGATGGAAATTGCTAGGCCGTATGCGTGTGCGGAAATCGCCTGCAAGAGGTAGTGTGCTGTTTGCTTCTTTCTTTGGATGCCCCCATTGACACGCAGACTAACTCCGGGTGGATTCTAGATTAACCAGGACGTTGAAACTTCCATCCCCTCTCAGCCGTCCACCATGCCCTCCCAGAGTGTACAAGAAGCTCTACGCATACCTCGAACAGTCCCTGCAAAACTCGTCGGTCAGCTCCAAGCGCCAGGGTGCTGAACCCCAAGCGCAGAAACGCGCATCAGCCAGAATACAGAACAAAGCTACAGCTCCTCCGGCCTTGCCTACCCCTACAGCCACATCATCAGCCATTTCATCCCCTAGACAGGTTAAAAGGACGGGGAATGGCCGGAATAATGTATCATCAAAGCTAGTGACGAGCAGTTCGCCTGCTGTGGAGCTACCTCAGTGGACAATGGGGCAAATCAGGACGATATGCAAGACGTTTCCTTCTCTCAGGCGAGCAAAGGAGATTCCATCGCCTAGTACATTTGCCTCTACACTGCCGCCACATGTATACGCCGGCCTTTGCTCGGTTCTATCGTTTATTTCGGCTGCAGAGGGACGACTTACAGAAAAATGGCAGGATCTCGTCTCACCCGTCTTATCACTCGGGACAAAACAGGATGATCCTAAAGCATTGGAGGTGACCAATGGGAGGGTAACAACATTGAGCATTGCCATCTATTTCGTTGTCTACACCCGGCGGATTGGGATGGTATACGATGCAGACGTACAACAATACCCGAACAAACCGATGACAGAAGTGGATGAGGCAGATATGGAAGAAACGATAGGCCGGGCGTTAGACAGCGTTGGTCTCCCCCGGCTGGTAAATGGCCGTGAACAATACTCTATGGAAGTCGATGCATGGCTTATGATCATGCTTGAGATGGGCTGGGCCATTGGCCAAGAGTGGTTTGAAAACATTCCTTTACCAACTGCAGATGAGATCGAGGCCTATAATCAGAAAAACAAGAGAAGAAAGAGAGGTTTGGACGAGGATTCCGATTTTGAAGAAGACGATGAGGAGATACTCAGCCCTAAGCGGAAGATGGTGAAGAGCAGGAATGCGGATGCTGGAAGAAGATATTTGACGTCGGGAGAGCAGAATCACTGTGGTGACACACTGCTACCTGGACTAGGCACAATGATGCATTCTCAGGTTGACTGGCTGAGTGAGGACAAGAGATACTCGTATGGAACGTGGAGGGACCGCATCATGATGTGGATAGAGCAGGTCGAGATCTCAGGTTGAGATCTGATCTTACTTCCACTTCTCTTCCTTTTCATGTCCTTTATATGTTTATTTTTCCATATTCTTTGTCGATTCTTTTTTTTGGGCATACCCGGGAAACCTGCAACATTGTTTACCTCTAGCATATTCGGAGTACGGAGCACCATACCCAGGCTTTTTGAGAAAAATTATTTTGATCAAGTGCCACCACAACAATGAAAGAAAGCTTATCGGAAGACATTAAAATGTTTCATGGTCTAATTGGTTAAAAATCTATGAGAGCACATAATAGTGGTCAGGTGAAGAAGTAAAAGTATGAGGACAAGGTTAGTACCAGATACTTCTTGTCCGATGATGTGGCATAGTCTCTTTCCCGTCCGCCTCCATATCCTTGACCATATCATACAAGAAAAAGTCAATCAAGATGGCGTTGATATGTAAGGGTTTGGATCCATTAGCTTCATGATGGCCATTCCTCTGCTGTTGAAGCTCTTGTATTTCTCGTCTTATTAGTTCCACACCCCAGATGCTGGCACCACGAAGCTCGACCTCCCGCTGATGGCCACTAAGTATGAGCTTGTGCTGCCGAATAACACTCTCCAGCGGCGGAGAGAAAAGCAGACAACCGAGCTGATTGAGCATTTGAGGGATACGATAATCTTATGAACGTTAGACGGTTTACAAGACCAAGATATGGGGGAGCACTAGAGAAGCATACCGGCAAACATGGTTATTTTGTCTATATCATGAAACTCTCCGTAACTCTGACCTTGGAAGCAAGCCCATAAATCCGCAACGAGGATCTGAGCCCGCTTATAGAACCGGACTTTCTTCCCGCAGAATTCGGCTTCGTCTCTGAAACAAGGGAAGTTCTGAGCCAGGAGATTGACCAAAGCTGCTGCTGAACCATTGGCTTCTGCAATACAGTTGGCAAAACTACATTCATATTTCTATGGGAACAGATTAGCATAGAAATGATATAACAGATAATAATTGAAGTTATGTATACCTCATAAAGAACTGATCCTGCTTCTCGTAGACAGGCGATGCGTTCCTCCAGGAGAGGAATCTCCTCGTCAGTGGCAGACCGGAAAACATGCCTCAGCACTTCATCTGTGCACTCATTTTCATCTTGCCAAAAGTCGGAGCTCGTAATGGGTATCTCTGTAAGTCTCAGCACGGTGTCTTTTTGGAATGTCAAAGGACAAGCAAAGTAGGGGTAGATGAATATATACCCTCATCAAGGGCCCTCTGCAAGGCAGCAACCAGACTCCAATAACCAGTCCATTTCCTACCGCGATACTCAACCGCGAATCTCTTCGACGCATCAAGTTCAGACCAGAAGCTGAAGTTGAGAAGATCCATGGTGAATATGAAGTTGACAGTGGACTCGTCTTTAGCTTTTGGATGCAAGTCATGGGCTGACCATGACTCAGTCGAGTATTCTTTTTCCTGCATCATCTTCCAAATATTTTTAGCAGCAGACTTGGTTCCCTTAGGGTCAAGGGCGACATCTATAGCGTTATCAAAGATGAACTTTGCGCCCTCGAGAACCTTTGTCTCTGCTGGCGGTGGTGTTTTTGAGTTGCCTCCCCCTAGGCCGAGGGACTGCCGGAGCAGTTCCAGCAGCTCCAGGTCTGGCCCATCATCATCGTAATCATCATCCGCATGCATATTTAGATGCCTAGAGAAGAATTGAATGCAAAGCGTCCCAAGAGGACGCCTCTGTTGAAATATCGGTTGGTATATCAACTAGGCAAGGAGGGTATTAAAAAAAGGAAACAACACATTAAATAGTTATTTATGCAAATCAAGGAAAAAAAAAAAAGAATCCTTCCGAATGAAAAGAAGAAGAAGAAGAAGAAGAACCACCCGAGATTCCTTTTGTAAACTGCTTTTTCCTTCTGGACTCCCTTTTTCTTTTCTGCAGCAAAAAAAAAAAAAAAAACTTTTTATATATAATTTCTTCTCGGTCAAACAAGGGGGCTCTCCTTGCGCCGTTGAACTTATGCTTACATAAACCATAATTTTAAAGTCATGTGAATGGTACTCGTGTTCAAGGCTTACATTTCCTGTCCCATGATTGGTGTAATTTGGGCCAATCAAGGAGCTAACCATGTTTAGCAGCTATTTCTACACGTGACATGACATAAACTAAATACCATTTATATTACTAATCAAACCTTGTTTCCACGTCGAAGCAGCATAAAAAGCAGCAAAAAGCAGTGGTAAAAGTGATAGTAACAAGCCAGCAAGTGATAGCAGATGATAGTTAGCAGCAGCAGCAGCGGCAGTAGCAGTAGCAGCGAGGGTGTACTCCGTAGCGACAGCGTGTAGCGGGGTTAGGGGCTAGTTTCTAGATACAAGTGTGCAATGCTCCATCGCGCAGTTGCTGGTTAGTTATGTTCAAGACAGAAGGCAGACGACAGACGACACTTCATGCTTCATAAGAGCGGCTAGATTAGTAGAGACGGAAGATACAGGAAGCAAAACAGTGTGGTTCCTTGCTTTGCCCATTATTCGTTGCTTTCTCTGCGCTTTTCTCTCGGCAACGTCTTTTCTGTCAAAAGGGCTGCAGGAAATCCACTTTTCCGCCTGGGGATGATGAGGTCACCACCTCTTTTCTCTCGCAGTTCTCTCGTCCGCTCCCTCTCGTAACTGATTAGGTTAACTAACCACCCGCCACCCCGTCCATCGCGCGCCCACGAGACGCAAGCGAAGAGGAGGCCGACGAAGACGAACACTGATCTACCTCTGCTCTGCTCTGCCTTGCTCCAACTACTGCGCCCTGACCTGTCTGTACCTGCGTCTGCTGCTGGGCCAGCTTGGTGGTCATCCTGGCTCATCTGCGCGCCATGTCACCTCACGCGGCGCATGGCCGCGATCGTTTCCTCAAGCAGTCCATCGGCTCGCTCGTCCCAAAAGTCCATGAGGTATGGAATATTCGTCTATACGTGGCCATTGACCGTTTGTTTTACTGACAAGTTTTTTGTCGCTTCTGGCAGAGCCGTGTGCTGCTTGTTGGCGCTGGAGGCATCGGCTGCGAGCTCCTCAAGAACCTCCTCCTCTCTGGCTTCGGCACCATCCACATCATCGATCTGGATACAATCGACCTCTCAAACTTGAATCGGCAGTTTCTCTTCCGCCACGAGCATATCAAGAAGCCCAAGGCCCTCGTACGTCTCTCGATGCATCTATATGATAGGGATGTTCGGTTCGCTTGGCTAACCTCGCACTCTTTCCTTGACATCACTTAGGTCGCAAAAGAAGTCGCTCAGAAGTTCAGGCCTCAGTCGACCATCGAAGCATACCATGCCAACATCAAGGAAAGTCGCTTCAATGTCGACTGGTTCGCATCCTTTGATCTCGTCTTCAACGCACTAGACAACCTCGATGCGAGGAGACATGTCAACCGGATGTGTCTAGCGGCAAATGTTCCTCTGATAGAGAGCGGCACCACCGGTTACAATGGTCAGGTCCAGGTCATCAAGAAGGGACGGACAGAATGTTATGACTGCACGAACAAACCTGTGCCCAAGTCATTCCCCGTCTGCACCATAAGGAGCACGCCCAGTCAGCCCATCCATTGCATCGTCTGGGCAAAGAGTTACCTATTCCCGTGGGTTTATCCAGCCATTTCCCCTTCCTCGCTTGTAACTATATGACAACTAACATTTTTCTGGCTTCTACAGCGAACTTTTTGGAACGAGCGAAGATGATGTCGAGCTTGATCATACAGAAGATGCTGAAAACGGTACGCCAGCGCCAGCCCTGTCTTCTAAGAATTTTCTTGCGACTAACGAGATAAAACAATAAGCTGGTGAAATCGAGAATCTACGACAGGAAGCGAAGGCTCTAAAGGAGATCCGGAACTCCATGCCTTCAGATGAGTTTACTGAAAAAGTGTTCGAAAAGGTCTTCCACAAAGACATTGTCCGTCTACAAGCCGTCGAAGAGATGTGGAAGTCAAGGCCAAAGCCAAACCCGCTCTCCTACAGCTCCCTATCAGAGGAATCTAAAGGAATCGACGCAAGCATTTGTTCGGATGATCAGAAAGTCTGGACCGTAGCTCAGAATTTCGTCGTCTTCAAGGACAGGTCAGTCATTGCTACATCCTAAGGTGTTGCCTGACCTTTTATTATTATTATTATTATTGTTTGTTTATTTGTTTAAAAGACTTAAGTTAACCAAAAAGGCAGTATTGTGAGGCTGAAAAAGCGGCTCTTGGATGGCCAGCCCGAAACACAGGATGGAGACAAGATCATGCTATCATTTGACAAGGACGATGTTGACACATTGGATTTTGTGGCTTCGAGTTCTAACTTACGTGCTGCGATCTTTGGATTGGAAGCCAAATCCAAATTTGACATCAAGCGTATGTTGTAGCTCCCTCCTGATGTTCAGTTTCATTAAATACTAACCAACTCTAGAAATGGCGGGCAACATCATTCCTGCTATTGCAACTACCAATGCAATGACAGCCGCGCTGTGTGTTCTACAGGCATTCAAAGTTCTAAAGAATGATTACGATAGTGCAAAGATGGTTCGCACCCCGTTGCTTTCATTTACGTGTGTATCTCTGCTAACGTGGTGGTCTAGGTATTCCTTGAACGATCTGGTGCTCGAGCTATTAATACTGACAGCCTCAAGCCCCCAAACCCCGACTGTGCTGTCTGTGCTGTAGCTCAGAGAAAGATTTTCATTAATCCAGAGAGTGCAACCCTCAATGATCTGGTGGAAAAAGTTCTTCGGCTTGAGCTAGGTTATGGCGAGGAATTTTCAGTCAGCAACCAAATAGGGACCATCTATGATCCAGACCTGGAAGACAATCTGCCCAAGAAACTAAGCGAACTCGGCGTTGAAAAGGACAGCTTCATTACCGTTGTGGACGAAGAGGATGAAAACCCCCGGGTTAACCTGGAAATACTCGTCTCCGAACGGTTAGTAGACCAAAAATAACACACTGTGGCACCAGCAGCTAACATCTACCAGAACTGACGATAAATCTCCTATCTCTCTTGAGGCGTCTGACGCTGACATCCCGCGGAAACCGAAGCCCGCTGGGGAACAGGAGCCTCCTGTTACCACCCAGGAGAATGGAATATCCGGCAAACTCAAGCGAACTGCAGACGAGGCAGGGCTTGAAGTTGTCGAAGGTCAGCCTGCAAAGAAGATAGCTAACGGGACAGAAGACTGCAACAACACCCCAACAAACCCTATTATTGTCGAGGACGACACAGGCACTATCCTTATAGACGCTGATTAATGGATTGATTGGACCGGACCCAGAACAAAATTTAGAGAAGGGAACACTAATTTATTTAGGTGGCGGTTTTGTTCCTCTTTCTTTTTTGTCTTATTTTTTTGCTTTCATTACTAAATATTTCACCTAACTGGATGTCTGCCCCTTCGTGCCGGCCGCATGCATTGGGTCGCGACTACATTTTGGAACCGGATAGGCGCAACTAAGACACGGCGGATTTCTTACGGCTGGGACATGTTCAGAACTATCCCACGGTTTCAGACTTTGCATTTACACTGGGATATTTTTCCTATTCACCTCCTTCCCTCCCCTTTGTTCCACCATGTGATGTGCTTTATGCTCTATGATTCTTGAACTCGGAAGTCTATAACCTAGCTTTCGTACCTGTATTATGCTACATATTTTCGCCGGGAGAAGAAGAAGTTGAGGCACACAAATCGCTCCCAACGCCTCCCGGCACATCATTTCTATCTGTTACATGTCAAACAATGCTTGCTATCAAAAACTCACGCAGCACTCAGGCCTCCGTCGATATTTAGCACACAGTTATTAGCGTATTGGTTTGTGGCTACGAATACGGCAGCATCGGCGACCTCTTCAACCATCCCTAATCGCCGAAGAGGAATGGACTGCACTATTTCCTTACGGAACTTTTCACTTAGTTCTATCCCAGCGTTAGTATGGCAGTATATTACCTGAAACTGAACAAGCCCAACTTACCATCGAGCATGCTTGTGTCAATGTACCCAGGGACTATAACGTTTGCACGGATACTCGCCCCAGAAGAGGACAAGTTCGACTCCGCGACAATGGCCCTGGTCAAAGCAATCACCCCAGCCTTGGTAGAGGCATATGCTGCCACGCCTACTCCTCCTCTAGACGCATGCAAAGACGATATGTTGATGATACATTTCGACCCAGGGTAGGATGATGATGACGCCGTTGCTTCATCATTGGACTGCTGCTTCTGTGCTCGCCGTTGACGAAGGGCCTGCCTGGTCATGCTTCGGCAAGCAAAGATAGTTCCTTGCAAGTTGGTATTCAGTATCTGAGTGATATGCTCGTCCTTTGCAGTGGGGAGAAGAGACGAGTGAGAGACCCCAGCAGCATTGACAAGAATGTCAACTTTGCCCTATGACTATGTATTAGTATCCTCTATCTAGAACGTCATTCATCAAACCAATGCTATTAGGAAAAACGAGGGCACACCATAAGGCGCTTGACGTCTTCACACCAAAATTTTGGACAGCCAACGTCGCCCGTCACCAGGGAGAAGCGGCCCGAATTGAGGATTTTAGCTGCCTCAGGACCTTCGTCTAATGAGGTCTCAGGAACTAACTGTCTCGCAGCATCTTTGAGTCGCTGTGTATTTCGCCCAACGAGAATGATTCTCTCTGCTCCCTCAAGGAGAAAACGCCGTGCTATTCCAAGGCCAATGCCAGATGAACCCCCTGTAACCATGCATGTTGCTCCCCTTAGACGACCCAGGGAGGGTGTCGATGCAGTTGAATAAGAATAACAAGCAGTCCAGCTCCGGGGGGCTCCTCTGATTGAATAGGGGTATGCCCGTCGCAGCGCCAGACAGCTGGCACGATTAAAAAACATATGCTCCAACGTCAATCTCGTAACTAGGTAGTTATAGCGACTATACTCCTACTGTTAACGTGGAAACTCCTGGTATCTTGGTATCTTGATAGTGACTGTAGTCCCAAGTGGATGTTGTACACCTAACAACGTAGTTAAAGAGCTAGGTGGCCTGGGCATCGGAGCCTCGGCATCTCCAACTCCGCTCCCCAGGCTTCATTGGAACCGGAACCTGCCCCTGGAGTCTAACCGCTGCAACGCAAGACGATCCATGTCGTGCAACCAGGTTGTTAACGAACTACCATGTCACTGGAAGGAAATGGAAATGGCCCTGTCTCCCCAGATAGGTGGCTAGTCAGTTAAACTGGCCAAGGCTGCTGCCTGGCGGGTTGCTGGAGGGCCGTTCTTTCGACCTTCCGCTGCTCCCTAGTGAAAACTGCCTAGCTAAAGAGCACCTTGAGCGTGTTCAAGAGCGTGTAGCTACTCACACAATGGAGAAACAAATACAGGAGCTGCTGGCTAGGGCCGAAGCGGCAGAAAGGCGTCAACAAGAAGAGCAAAGACGTCGTGAAGAAGCAGAAAGGCTTCACCAAGAGGAACAGCAACGCCGTTTGGAGGCCGAAGCTCAGTTACAGCCTGTACCGCTACCGGTCTTCCTCCAGTCCTGTCACGAGCTGTTGCTTTCAATCAACATCGTCACTGACCCGACCAAAACAACCAAAGGGCCAGTGACAAAGCCAGCCAACCGAAGGGTGCCTTCGCGGATGTTGATATGGGATACCTTTGCCGAAGAGCAGGCCGCAGTGTGGGAAAAACTATATGAACATCCGTCATTCCTGGAGGAGAAGCTATTTCCTTCCGAACACCAGCTTGAATATGTTCGCCAGTTCATTTCCCCAATCAATTCGGAGATGGACCTTCGGTACTTTGAACGAGAAACAGTGGAGAATCATGTTCGTATCATAATCGACCGCATCACCGAACATGAGGATCTCAAGGCAGCCCTCGGACTGCGAGGTTCTGTCACTTTCGAAAGCCACACGAATTTGGGGGCTACAAAGAAGAAGCCCCTGCAGAGGGAGGAAGCCCGAGGTACGCTAATTGACGAAGCAGCTGCAGCAGAAACTGGACCCCCAGCGGCTGCTAGTCAGGGTAGCAACAGCCAGACCCGAGATGCCATTACAAGGGGACAAGCAGACAGATTCTGCATCTATCGACAAGAGGGGGATGAGCATGTGCCTGCAATCGCCATTGAGTACAAAGCACCACATAAACTCATGCAAACTGAGATAGCTACCGGTCTCACCCAGGAGATCCAGCCCGCCCGGGATGTCATCGACAAGGAGTCTGATGACACTGAATTCTACTGCAAAAGGCTGGTCGCTGCAGTTATAACTCAGCTCTTTTCGTACATGGTACTCAAGGGGGTACGCTACGGCTACGTGTGCACCGGTGAAGCATTCATTTTTGTTTATATTCTTGACGATCCATCCTCCGTTCAATGTTCAGTTTGCACGCCAAGTCAAGATGTTAAAGGAACTGATGATAAGGACCTCCAGTCAACGGCAGTTGCCCAGGTGCTTGCATTCACAATCAAAGCACTTTCATCTCCGCCAGTTTCCCAGCAGTGGCATGATGCCGTTGATGGGCTTGATGTTTGGCCCGTGGAGTATGCCGATATCCTAGAACAGACTCCTCCTGATTCTCGCCCAAAGCGTATTTCACCCCCGTACCGTGGTAGGCGACCACGCGACCTTCCTCGCTTTAGGATGTCGCTACGGTCAAGATGCCGGCCATCAGAAGATGGAGACCGGTCGTCAAGCTCACCCTCTCCATCTCCGTCTGCCTCTTCTTCCCGCTTAAGCTCCACTGTCCGCCGCGCACGAGCCAAAAAGAAAGCGGCGCTTCGGTCTAAGTCAAGCGGGAAATCAACTGAAACGCCCAACCAAAAGGAAACTACCAACGCGAGTAAATTCCCCATCTTTGCCCCAATACCAGCTATAAAGACCCGCCCATATTGCACTCAGCAATGTCTTCTTGCACTCAGGAATGGTGGCCGTCCTGATACCTCGTGCCCCAACTATAGAGATCACCAGAACTATAAAGGCAAGATCAGACCAGGAAACTTTCGTTCCCTTATCCGTACACAACTTGCTACCGATCGTGGCCCAGATGCAGACTGCCGTCCTCTCTATAAAGTAGGTAGCTGTGGCGCCCTGTTCAAAGTGAGGCATTCATCGTCCGGCCACACCTTGGTCGCCAAAGGGGTAGAATCCTGGAATTTACATAAACTTAAACATGAAATGCAGATTTACAACAAGCTCAAAAGCCTGCAGGGAAAGTGTATTCCGGTCTGCCTTGGTATCGTCGATCTGGTGCCAAAGTTTCCCTACTACTTCGATGAGGGGATCTATACCCACATGCTATTTTTGAGCTGGGCGGGAGAGTCGATTTCTAAAACAGGAGTAGTGCCCCAAGACGCCGATGTTTCAACCATGGTGCATAATGCCCTCCAGTCCATTCACTCAAAGGGCGTCCTCCATGGCGATGCAGAGCCACGAAATATTCTATGGAATCCTACCTCGCAACACGTAATGATCGTTGATTTCGAGCGATCCGTTATACAGAACGCTTTGTCCGATGTGTCTGCGAACTCAGGAAGCAAAAAACGGAAGCTAGCGGATACTTGCTTTACCAAGGAGCTTCAACGAATTGACGCAGTATTTGAAAACAAGGCTCCAAATGCCCGTGTAGGGCCTCCCTGATTTCGCGTCAGGCGGGAGTTACTATAGTAAAAAGGATCCATATGCATCTATATATTGACACCGGAGCATCTAGATACGAGCCAAAGAGTGACTCGACTCGGTACTAACCAGGGGTCAGCAGGACGAAGCTCTACCTAGTATTTGTAGCAGGGGATAGATTATGTTTAGACTCCTGATTTAGCCCTAGTTACCTGTCATGTTACTTATTTATACCCAGATAGTGTCTTCTTTTACCTTACTTACCTATAAGATCCATATAATGTTTTATGTCTGTCTTCCGCTATTGCTCTTCAGAGTTTGTTCCTTAATTATCATTGGTCGCTTTATAGCGAGGAGTTAGCCCCACTCGACTGTGTCACGTGATGGAGCCTAGCGTTTAAGGCGGAGGCTTCTGCGACTTTTCGTACTTGATAAACATTAACTAAACCAAGGACCACGGCTTAACTCTTAAGGAAAATGACTACTAACCAGGAATCTTCTGCTGAATTTGTTACTCTGGCTTCTAATGATGGGTTCGAGTTTGTGATCCCGAGGAGTGCTGCCTGTGTATCAGGCACCCTTCGCAGAATGCTGGACCCTTCAAGTCAGTGCCGCCATTATATCCCTCTATAAGAGTTTACCCATACCTCCGATGTTACTGGGATATTCATGTTCTCTGGCCTAATTCTGACTTTTTCATATCTCAGGCAACTTCTCAGAAGCAGTCACAGGGCGGTGCGTGCTTGAGACACTGAAGTAGGTCAAACATATACCAACTATCGGACCCAGGACTCTATGCATAGTGAAGATTATACCTAACCTATTCAAATTTTGGTTTTTAGCGGCGTGGTACTCGAAAAGGTTTGCGAGTACCTTCTCTACAATGAACGAAATAAAGGACAGACAAATGTCCCTGACATGGACATTCCCCCTGAACTCTGCCTAGAATTGCTTATGGCTGCAGATTACCTGGATAGTCAGTTATTCCACCCTATTTTCTTGCTATATTCTCTGAATCTTTCGAATTCAATCATTCTAACCCATGATATAGCATGATATTGATAGGGATTCAATACTTAATGCGTGTTAGCGCTCTGGGTCCTTTTTTATTTCACTTCTTCCTTGTCTTGCAGAAGACTGAAACCCATTCGGCATTACATTCTGTGGTCTGCCACATCGTTCAACGGAATGTCTAAGAAGAATGGGTATATTAAACGCCCCTTGAGATCAGTTTGGTCATATATTTCCTCTCTTTGGTTTGGATCTATATCAATGATGATGGCTGGAAGGGAACAAAAGTTAGAATCTCCTGTACATCTCATGAAGGTCGTATCTCATGGGCTTATAATATACAGAGCATCAAAGGGGTATCATATACATTTAACGTAGCTTATTACACTATTCGAGAAATAGACAAACCTTGGCCTCCACTATCGCTTTTTATTAGAGGGACGCCGGCCACCTTTATTTCCAGGTCCAAGGTTCCTTTTCTGCGAATATAAAGGCTCCTTCATAAACCCAGCGTCGCTGATACGCAAATAACTAACGACCCCCTGATCTACCACCGCTAATATCACGTTTCGATACCCGTGTCGAAGACGCATATAGAGTAATCGATCCATCTTCTCGCCACGAGGAGGGTCTTGTGGAGTACTAGCCAGAAGAGCGCTTAGATTCTCAAGCGTGGGGATAACGGGGTTCGACCGGGCATCGACAACAGCAAGTCTAAAGTCTGGTGGGCCTGGGTTAGATTTCTTATATGGCGTAGAGGGTTTATAAACATAGAATGCTATTTTGTAAGGAGAGGACGGAGGATTTTTGTTGATTTCATCGTCAGGGTGAGAAGGGTCATATGCAGGTATAATGGATAGAGAGCGGTAAATATCATCTAAAAGAAAAGTTAGTGCTTGTTCAGGTGGCAGAATCTGTTAACGGAACGAACTATAGCTTCGATGTATCCCTAGACCTATGACAGGTCCATGGGCGGTGTTTCCTTTCGTTCTCATGGAAAATATAGACCTGAACAGTTCTGCAAAAATACTCATAACCCCAGGAGCAGGTGTTGGCACTGGCTTCTTAGATTCTGTTTGTGTCTGAAAATCTGTAGGGCAATTTTCTTCATCCCAAGTATCAGCTCGAACGACAACATAACCTCCTCGTCTCAATCCCGAGTACACCGAGAATCTTTCCATGGTCAAACCGCTACGACCAAGGAAACACGCATATGCAGCTTGTAGACTCATAGGAACGGTCCCCTCCAGCTCAAACGAAGAAGTCTCTGGTATTCCTTTCTCCCAAGTTTCCTCTGCCGGCCATCTAATGTCCAGGCTGCCTCTCTCAAGCAAATAGAGCGCTTCTTCTGGCAGCAACCACATACGATTCAAACTATCGGCCTGGGCTATTGTTCGAAAATGCTGTCCTTTGGGATTGGGAACACAGACACAAGCGCCACTCTGGAGGCCATCAGGATAGTAGACACCTATTATTCGGCTTTTCGGGTTATGTAGACGCGGGTAAGAGAGAGCATTGTGCATTGCATTGCGCGCGGAAGTTAGGACATTGGCTTGGTGGAGGGTTGGGTTGGGTTCAAAGTCTTTGTCTCCCCGCCGAGGAAGCGTCTGAGGTTGTGTGGGGTCTGACAGTCTATAAGGGAATAAAAGAATCAGCGGCCTGGATCTTGATGTAAGAATACATGCGGTTGTATTTACGTAGCAAAGGTGCTTAAGAAGCGGAAATCCTGTGTTTCGTCGGAGACATCCTGATCAATATTAGCAGAAGCATCATGCGATGAACTGAGAGGTTGGTTAATGGCCTCTTCATCCAGGTCTGCCATCTTCTTGAAGGTTCTTCGGTGGCTGTTCTTCTAACTCAGTTCCCGTTCATGACTACGCTGGATGTTGAAAGTTCGCTCACTACCCAAGAGCCGCACGGGATTTTCACGCCAAAATCAAAGCTTATTCTTTTTTTCCAAGCGCCCAGTGCCGCTTTAATCTGACTAAGCCGAGGCTGAAGCGGCTAAATTCGCGCCTGAGTCGAAGCGCGCGCGTCTAAAAGTTCTGTTAACTCTGCCAAGGCCAGCATCAACGTCTCGACCATGTCAGGTTGGATGCCGACTTAGTTTACTATACACGAATCTGCTCCGATGTAGAGCGACTGCCGTCGAGTCTTGACTTCCAAGTTTCTGAGTGATCTGAAGTGTAATTTGAGTCGCCCACTGACCACTGTCAGGCGTGGGGAGCCCTCCTTCAGACTGAAATAATGCCTATCTTGTTTCGCTGAGAGACGATGAACGGAATGCTACCCCAAACGTCTCGGTTTCTAAAGGAGCGGGTCAAGGAGCAGACAAAGGGGCAAGGAAAACTCGCATCGCAAAAGAATTGGCAGGCAGTTGAAAAGAATGACGGGACCTTGAATGACTGCTCGAGGCTAGTCGGGTAGTCCGTACGACCGCACAATTTATATATGGATATCTTCTCTAGCGGCGTGCTACCTGCTTGGCTCTAGCTACTAGGTGGTGATAGACCAAGCCTAGCCATCATCTGTCTGCGATCTGTGGATGCAGGCGAAGGTGCTTGAGCTAGCTAAGATTGAACGGGGTAAATTGTTAGTTACTGAAGTATTGAAGTAAAAGTAAATCTTAAATTTTCAACATCGCGGGGCAACAGGGTTTCTATGAATATCACCATCTTCCTTTAATTTACATTTAGATATAATTATGCTCAGCTATAATTGATCTCTGGAGGAATATCCTTGATTTTTTTAGGGTATTACTATATGCATTTTAGCTCTATGGAATTCTGAACAAAACCCAGAAATGGCCGCGACAGACGAAGGTTCAGTCAACGAAAATCTGGTGGAACAGGTACGACGCCCCCAAGAACACCCAGTCATGGATAGACATCAAGCTAAATGTTCCCTCTATTGAGATATGATAGATTTCGAAGAACCTGGCCAACACTCGCTACACGTTCGGTGTCAGTTCGAAACAGTACCAGACGGTACTGGAAATGTTGAAGGCGTCTATTGCACACCTGGAAAAGCAGAAGTTGGCTGGACGCAAGAACCACACTTCGGATGTCGAGAATCTCATCCTTCTATTAGAGAGAGAATTGAAAATCTGATCCTGTGCGACAGAATTTTGGAAATGGCCAGGACTTTTTTCTGACAACATTGATTCGGCTTGGTGATATCATTGCATTCATCTATTGACCACTACCTGGGATGGGAGATAAAAACGAAGCTCTTACAATACGTTCGATAGAATGAAGATAAATATTAGAGAAGAAGAAAGGGAAACCCACGGCTGAAAAAAATGAAGAACAGCAGTATATGTCAGTAAATACTTGGAGTCAATGAGGAGGATCAGAGGATATGCATTGCGCCCAAGGCAGCATGCATTGAAGATGCTAGAGAATGTTATGTAGAATTGAACCCGGATGACTTGACATAGGTGGAGCAAAGCATAGCTCATCAAGAACCATGCAAAGGGCAGGTACCATTTTTAGGTAGTCGTTTGTAGATAGTCCATACATCGCCAGGGAAATTTTTGTTCCAGAAGTATGATATAGGTACCAGAGATATCTAGCCCGGGAGATGTTGGAATGAAAATAAAAACCAGAGCAGCCTCGTCACTTACTCCAGATGAAAGTAACCAGCTCCCATAAGATATTTCCTAGAAAATGGTAATAATGGCGAAGCCGAACTGGGACCTCAGGAATACTCATCCCGTTGAAAGCTTGGCCCAAATCAAAGCTAAACCAAGTAGCTAGGATATGATAAACCATGGCCGTTCGGTAAGTGAATGAAAGCAAGATACAGGTGTGCCATGCCGTGAGAGATGTGAGGGAGTGTAGTATTTCAGGTTCGCGGTAGGGTTAGGGCCTCGGTAGCTGCATTTGTAGATGTCGAAATCGTTAAATGGTACCAAATGACACTCCAGCTAGAAGATATCCTTGCTTTTCGATTTGTATCTGTTCATGTGCTTTTCCTGTGGTATGACCGACGCAGCTCGCTGATCCAATCGAACGGCAAGTATGCAGCTATACCTAGTATGAAATGATAACCGCGAAATTATCCGACCATTCTGGCGCCTATATCCCATGCAATAATGCGATTTTACCAGTCCCCCAGCGCCAGCTGGTTTTTTTTTTTTTTGAGGAGACAAAATAATGATTCATTAATAGTTATCGTTATTCGTGGGGTGGGAGAGGGCCGTGAACCGCTCAGGCATGGCGAGGGTGGTAGAGGGGAGGACGGGATTTATTTATTCTATTATAGGTTTCTTGGTATTTCCCACGATTGCGACGTTGAGATAGCGGAGGGCGTTGGGATCACTGGCGCGGACGATAGTTGGTAGTGGAAGCATAGGGTTGTCGGGATTGATGTTTCTCGCCTCGCGCGCAGCCTGCTCAATGGCCTCCATTTCCTCCTTGCAACCAGCGTGGTCTAGAGGACAGACAACAATGGGTTGTCTTAGGACTATGTCCTTCGCTGATGTGAGATGGGCCTGTAGGATTCATGTCAAAATATGCTACCATGGAGAAGAGGCATAGGATTTATGTAACGTACCTTGACTGTCAAATAATATTCTATTTTATACAGAGAGGCGGTGGTTGTAAATGCGCTGACGGCGTAACTTGGGAATGCTGGTTTCCCTCGTGGTAGTACGCCGTCTGAATCGCGCAAGTCTCTTGCAGGGAAAACGAGGCCGAGGTTGGTGAGGTATCCGGCTTCGGGCATCTTTAGATTGACTGACTCCGATCGCTTGGCGAGTGTTTTTCCCTTGCGGACCGGTTCGTCGCCTTCGTGGTTGTAGACTATCTCCTCGTCAATTGAAAGGGTAATTTTCTGTATTGTCACTTTGCGAACCTTGCTCATCCAGTCCGGGTTGGGCGACAGCTTCACATATACACTGACAGGATCGAAAGGCCCATATGACCATCGAGGTAACGATATACCGAGAGTGATAAGATGATCTGACACACGCTCTGCCGCTTCCGGTCGATTGTACATGCCAAACGTGGATAAGGTATCGTATCTCGACATAGGGACAGGGAAGGAGTACTTTCTCTGCTCTGCCTGGCCCTGTTGCACCATCACGACTAATTCGTAGTATGTCTCAGCAGTTCGGCTGCCCAGTTGCAAGCTCGCGGGTGGTAGCCGTCTCGAGGTTTCCTGTCCGCCTCTACCGAATGGTATGAAAAGGACAAAGGGGAGGTCCATAGCTATTATTTCTTCGTACTCTCGCCCCATGGGGCATCGAAAGAGGAGCATCTCCTTGCCCACGATGTCCGTCACGTCCTTTCGCGGGGCAGCCAAGTGTCTCTTCGTCATTGAATCGGCCGCGGGATGTATCGTCTCCCTTCGCTGGAGGCATATTGTGACCATGGAGATATTGACTGCGGCTGAGACCCCGACACTGGGTCGCACTTCGACCTTTCCTTCGATACGTGGCTATCCATGCTGTGTTAGTATTCCTTCTCGTAGCAAATCAGGCCTGCAAGGCCAAAAAAAATAAGATTGCGTCAAAGCTATGTAGGTGTGCATCGAAATCGTGGAACTGGTTCAGGGACGTAAAAAACTCACCAGAGTTGCTGAGATTCCAGGGTACCCGACGAGGAAATTACTATTGGGAGGCCCCGACACTCGCACGAATGCGGCCATCTTGTGCCAAACTGCGCGCCCCGTCCACCATGGGTCGATTGGGGAGTGTTGTTGGAAGTCGAGACCTCTAGTATCCCGCTTTTGTTCGCCACAGGTAGGATGCCCTGGGGCGTCTCATGCATGAGCTTGTTCCCGGTAATATCCTGCGTGTGTCCGTCCCTTATCAACGCCGCACCAACGAGGAACTTGAGGGTGTTTAACTAACGACTTAGGCAGCTAGTTATCTAGCGTCACGGTAGATCGAGGCGGAGGAATGTTCGCGAATGCAAGTGTGGCCTTGGAGTTTGAGCTTTTTGCTGGTCCAGGCTGGCGCAAAGATGCTGGCGGATGGTCGCTTAGCGGCGAAGCAAAAGAAAAAGAAGGCAGGAAGCTACTGATAGTGGATTTCAGTACGAGCGTAGTAAACTAATGGCGGCTCGTTTGGGGGTTGTGTTGATATTATTCCCTGCTATATCGACAAACTTGATATGTGCTCTGCGAGCCTAGGGGGTTGCTCGTCAGCTAAATAACCATTAACCGCCGGGAGACGACCGACCCCAGTTTCCCCAGCATGGGCTCCTGCAGCTCGTGTTGACTTTTTCTATTGCTTTCTATTTTTTGTTCACCGGCTTGCGATAAGGCAGGTCGACGGACGGAGGGAGAACAGCCAGGGCAAGGGTAGGGGCCTGGTCAACGGCGACTCCTGGTTTCGATGGCGGTGCTTAAACTCGACAGCCTCGTCACTTGAGCCTCGCTTTCCTAGGAGATGTGCCGTTTCGTCATGAAGAGGGTTATTCTGTTCGTCTCGCTCGTCTGCGGTTCGTTATTTGGGTGATCTAGTTGGTTAGTTCGTGATAAGGACTGGCATGTATTACGGTGTTTGGGAGGTCGGATTTGTTGTATCGACCAGCCCAGCGCCTCTCTCGAGCCGCTCCGTGCTGTAGAGTCTTCTTCACCTCCTCTTCGCGCTTCGTATGCTGCCCTTCGGCCTTGATATCTCGTTTGTTTTTCGTTCTTTTCTTTTCTTCTTTCAGTCTCCAGAGGGATGTTTTTAGGTTCCAAGTTGGTGATATCACGTGATGCCCATGCGGCTCTTTTTTGGCAGGTTGAAAGTTGCAGCTGAAAGACGTCGTGGGAAGCCGAAGACGCTGCAGCGAGACGAGAAAGAAGGCATAGAGGGAAGAGAAGAGGGCTGGCGAGGATGTCAGTTACGGTGAGCATGCCCCGTGCTCTGTTCAGTGCCAATTTGTTTCTTGCAGCGCTGACCAGGAACCCGTTACTCTCCTTGATAGCTACACACTACCCATGGAGACCTCAAGGTCGAGATATTTTGTGAAGCTGTGCCAAAGACCGCAGAGGTAAGGAACTTTTACGCCCCTATGGACATCATCTCAAGCTAACTAAGTGATTATCCTAGAACTTTCTTGCTCTTTGCGCCTCCGGAGCGTACAATGAAACCCCGTTCCACCGTCTCATGCCCTCATTCATGATCCAAGGAGGCGACATATCCCTCTCTGCAGCGAACGAGGCCTCCTCGTCGTCTCCTCTACCGTTTGACATTCCAAAGGGAGGAGCTTCTATATACCACCCAGCTCCACTAGAGCAGGAGATTCACCTCCCCACCCTCCGCCACAATGCAAGAGGGATACTCAGCATGGCAGGGAAACCGGTTAAGAATCAAGGCGGTGCCGGAGGTGCAGTGCCTCAAGATATAAATGGCAGTCAATTCTTCATTACCTTTGCGGCCGCCCCTCACTTGGATGGGAAGAGCACCGTTTTTGGTAAGGTGCTAGATCCAGGTAGGACCGGTGAAGAAGGCGAGCAGGTCGATACACTTACCCGTCTTGAAAAGGCCCATGTGAAGATAGATAAGAAAGGAAGAGTTGTGCAGCCGGAGTCGATTAAGGACAAGTCTGAGAGTGATAATACCCAAGCATGGGAGAAGATCGGTATTGATAGAGTCACTATCCATGCAAATCCCTTCGCTCGCTGATAGGACTTGGACATTATCCAATGCAAATAAACAAGTACGCAAGGATAATTTTGTCCTCTCGCGCGCTCTCATTAAATACTACCTAGTCCATCCTGGTGGTTAGTTAAAAAGCATCACCAAGGGCCAATTCGTCGGCATCTTCAAAAGGTGGAGGAATTGCAGAGACCACGACATCGACCCAAGGCAGTACATTCAAACACTAACACGGAGAATTATTTCTGACAAGGGCTCCTATCGGCAGATTTGATATCCGATTAACTAAGGAGTTTTCATGGGCTCATTTGACTTAAATGAGATTTTCTGCACTGGTCGATTGCATTATACCTCTAGAGTGACCACTATCAGAAGTCAGGGACCTCAACAAGTTTCTGTAAAACGGACAATAATAGCCGCCCAGGCTGGCCAAAGAAGAGTGACCAACATCAGAGAAAAAAAAAAATAAGATAGCTTTTCGATCCCCCGATTCTATACTATGAAAAGTAGGTCTCTGAAAATCAAGCGCTGCCCGTCATTTGCCGCGTGTCTCGTTATAAAAAAAAAAGCCGATTAAGAAATAAAACAACACTCCGATGTATGCGCCTACTTTTGATGAAAGAAATTAAGTTGCTTCCTCTGCTGCCTTTGCTGCCTTCTCCGCTTCTTGCGCGAGTCTATGCTCTTCTTCATACCCCTCAGTCTTCATGTCCTTAAGACCGAGATCTTCTTCCTCTTCTTCGGTGCGGGTATATTCTTCCTCCTCCAGTTGTGGGTCTGGTTCTGGTACGAAAAGATTCTGAACATAGCTGTTTGCACAGGGATCTTCGAGGGTGATAGAAAATTTTTGCTCTCCTTTGATAGCGGCGTCGAGCTTGTCAAAGAATTGCTGCCATCGATCCTTCTCTGGTACAGGCATGGAATCACCTGGAGCCAGGTCTTCATCGCCAAAGTCGAAGATCTGCTCGTGCAGCTGGTCACGAATTTGGGTAAGCAGACCCTCGACGGTAGTGAATCTGCCGCCAAGTGTGCCAGGTTGGACAGAGAGACCAAGGTCGTCGCTCTTCAGGACACAAGTCTCAGATTTGAGGATATCTCGAGACAGGTCTTCAATGGACTCCACTTTCAGCTTAATTCGCTTTCCCTTATCAGGAATGGCACCTCCGGTCTTGACGTCGCTTGTGCGGTAGCCACAATGGTCGCAGACAGTGCTCCATATGAACACTTCCTTGAAATAAGGGATGCTAACCTTCTGCATGTTGACAACACAAGCTTTCGCGCAACCAGGACAGTGGGTGGGGAGAGAGTACACATCTCCGTCAACAATGTCAAGGTCGTTGGGGTCCCCTGACTTCTGACCGGCCTGATCCTCTTCGCCGATGCCAATGCCGAGCGCCTCATTCTGTTCCTTGGTACGCTGGAATTCCTTTCGCTTGTATCTGGTACCCTCATCGTAAGGCGCAGGAGCGATCCAAGAGTTGCCAGTGGTGTCTTCCAAGGTCACTGTGAATGGGAACGATTCGCCGTTGATCATCTTAGCAAGCTTCTGGAGGATTTCATCGAGCGCCTGGTAGGTGGCCGGGTCGGCAGTTTTGCGTAGTGGTTGTTCGCTTTCGAGCTGGGTCTGGATCTTGGTGAGCAGACCTTCGATATTGGTAAGCTGCCCCTCACCAGTTGGCATTTCTATTCCAAGTGTTTCGAGTCGAAAGACCGAGCTATCACCCTTGACGACCTGGCGGTCAAAGTCGCGTTTGTCATGGATCTCCAGAGTGTACTTGGTGCCATGCTCCTGGATCTCGCCGGCAGCTTTGATAGAATTATTCTTGTAGCCGCAGTGAGGACATTCAAATGATTCAAGGAGGACGTCGCGGAAGAAGGGGATCTTGATCAGGAGGAATTTGGTAGAGCCCTGTAAACGCGGTTTCACTGGTTAGAAGTACAATTTCCCACGGAAGATAGGCAACGATCTGGCTGCTTACATTGTCATGGCAATTCATACACATGCTCTCTACGTCGACAAGCCCCAGGTCATCGTCATTCTGGACGACCTTCATGGTCTCTTCGTCAGCGCGGGGCACGGCGTTGTTATCCCGGCTGGCCATCTTTGCCTTTATCGTGGAGGGGTCGCTTTGGTGTGTTTGGTTCTCGTAGTAGTCAGGTTGGCGA